TTGACCCATGATCTTCTTCAACTCAGGTCTGCAAGTTGCTTATGCAAAATTGACATGCTACGAAGGTGGAGGAGAGACACCCGTCGATTATTCAAGTTTACAAACTATTCAAGACGACTACTGCTTTGTGAGTGTCAAATATTATCTAGCCAAGCTTACCGTGCGTTAATTTTTTTATGTTTCTTACTTCCAGTCAGTTACAAACAAATGCCGTGAAAATTCAACTGAACATACATATTATTATTTTGGTGCCACTGCAAAAGAACATGGCAAGTATAGTCAATTATTAATACATACTAATTTTTCAAATGCAAAAGCATAATAACTTAGAAAAGTGCCATAATTTAGTGTAGGGTTAGGCTTGGAGTTGAAAAATGTCTAGCGTTACACCATTCTGATTGGTGCAGATCCACATGAGCGTTTCCCCGAGGATCCTGCGGAATCCTATGATAGGATTCCTATCATTTTCTGTGATCTTCTTTGCAGGAAACGACTCTGAGAAATTCAAAGTTCTTGTAGGTTGCAACGAGGGGCAAAGTGCCCTCCTTAATATCTCATACGTGGCAAAAGATTTTTTTAATCTAGGAGAATCTACAACACCAAAGTCGGAACTAATAGGATGAATTATCTTCGAAAAAGTGCTCTAATGTTTCGAAAAACATTGTGCAAAAAGTACTTTTCAAGGGCTTGAGCAGTTCTTCGAAGAAAAGTGGATGATTGTACAGTACCAGTTTCGATCTCAAAAGTTGTACAGGGTTTTAGATTAAGAAATTTTGCGTCGAATGAGATATTAAGATAAGAAAATAAAAATAAGAGATGCACTACCAGTTCGTTGTGTATTGGCTCACTCTCTTATAGCTATAGTGGTATAATGTGAGAATGTTTCTCTTCCACTATATATACATGTATGTTTAACATACTGTAATTACACAATATCAATGATCTACGAAATAAGAAGCAGGACAGCACAGATTATTTTTGTAGGATGGCCCGACAAAGATAAGATGTGCTCGTTCTATTCTCTTACGTAGGCGAAAGTTATATTGTGTTTCGTTTAGCTGCTTCAAAATTCTAACTTGTCTATAGAGATATTAAGATGTGCACTTGGAACCTCCATGTGCTCCACGGGAGCAAAATAAGAAGAGAGTAAAAATTTAACCTCTGTTATTTATTGCGGACTCTTGTACAATTTTCGCAAGGATCCCAAATTATATAATAGTTGGTGGTTCAAGTTTAAAGTTTGATTTGTTATAACATTTTGAAATTTATCTTAAAAACGAGAAAACAAGTTATATCTTTAGCGCTAGATAGCTCAATGGGCTAGAGCAATGTCTCGTGATCTTGATTTTCTTGAGGGCGAAAGTTCGATTCTCATCTCACAGTTTCTGTTTTCTTACTTTCTTGCTTGAGTTCCAGGACCCTACCATAGGAAAGCATGCGGAATGACACGATTCTGTGGGACCTGCTGTTGGGAAATTTCCTGTCATTTGCTACGAGATCTCCTGTCATTTCCTGGGAGATCCTATAGGATTCACACTGGATTCGCAGAATCCTGTCATTTTTTATGATTTCCTGTCATAATATCATGCAAGATTTTGGAGATTTCATAGGATTTTGTCTCAGGATTCATTAACCTGGATTGCTCTACAGTCCTAAAAATGTAAAATAGCAACTCTCTATCTGCTTGTCGGTTTCAAGCACAAAAAGTCAGTGTTTCATCTACACCACACAAAAGAGCATACTGTGCGTCTTATTGTCGTCATTTATTTTTATGTATTTTAGCCGACACTTACTGTAAGGAACGTGAGGGAGTAGTAAGTGCAGGAAACTGCAATTACAAGACGACATGTTGCTACAAAAATTTATGTAATCGGTGAGATCAAATTCATACTTACATTTCCTGTTTTCAAAAGTTCACGTTCTTCTCCTTTGCTTTCAGCCGTGTCGATCCAGCTGTCTCAGCCAGCAGTGTTCCAAACCATAATTAAAAAATCCTAATGTGAGTGAATTAAGAAGAAGAGAAGAATTGCTAATCAATACGAACTGTAGTGTTATCATTTGTCTTTTCTTTTGCGGAATTACTCATTGTTATTTTTTAAATTAAATAAGATAAATTAAATTCACGATAATGTTAAGGCGTATATTCGCGTGAAATTTTCAAGCTTTTTATAACATATTTTAATAAAGATCCAGCCTCCCCACAGTGTGCAACCAGGCCTTCTTTTAGTGAAAAATCGAAAGTTTAGTTTTGGGTGTTTTGAATGGCGTTGTATATACTACAAAATGGCGGCCAATTTAATGGCGAAAATTTTTTATTCAAAGTCTTCTTTTTGGAGAAAAAAGTTAACTAGAAAATTAACGGCCAAACAAGCACAGCTTTCGGAAAAAGTCTTTTTTTGTCACTCAAATTTGACATTTGTCAGACTTTAATTAGAAAATGTTTAAGAATCAGCAACAACTCTGCTATCTTTTGGTAAAAAAATAATTCTCGATAGAGCGAATTCTGGCGTTAGAAGAAGATTTCTCCTTATAAGACACCGATTTTGAAAAGGCTAATTCAGTAAATTGAGGTTTCTCAGTTTTCCCTGCCTAAGTGACTTCAAAATAGTTCATAATGTTGCCTTGACGTCCTGTATCTATGATGATCCCTCAAAATTCCTCACTTTTAACTAGGCTGAGTACTGGATTTTCCAAAAATCCTCGGTTTTTGAATCGGCTTAAAAAAGACGTTCATGTGTCTAATCTATAGAGATATTCAGAATTAGCGTGAAAAACTGGGTCTAGTGATGAAGAATTCGATGAGTTTTTGAAAAATTATTTTTCCTCGAAAATTTTACGGCAAGGATCCACCTCAAGGATTTTTAGCTTAAAAAAAAGTTGTTTTTTTTGTTTTATTTTTTTCTAACTTTTATTTGTTTACATGTGTCAGGTAGCCGTTCTATCACCAAATAACTGATTTATTATAAAGTGACTATATGCAACAAGCAAATTGAATTGCCGTTTAACTCAGTTCAAGTCAGTTCAAAAAAGAAATTTTGCTTGTAGGATATGGAAATGTGGATTGAAGCGCATAACTCCAGCATTCACTGGGTTTTTATTCCAGTTTCTTGTGTGTGCAACTGAAAGTACTATTTCATCAGAAGCTTGATACTGGTTCTCTTACTATTTTAACGTTATTTTGCAGCCCATCTTTCTACAAAAATAGAGTTGGTGGAAAGCGTGCTGAAAAGGGACTAAGAAAGATAAAATGTGTGATTAAAGAACGTTTGTTAATAGATTATTATTCTCAAAAGACTAGTAAAATCGTCTATTCACAAAAAAGTTGGGCTTTAAACATTTTAGCGAAACACATTCTCTTTATGTAAAGTAAATTCGTTGATGTGAAGTGAAAATGAAAGTTCTAATCAGTTGATTTACAGTCTTGTTGAGTCTAGTACTCTAGACTTAACGCTCTAGGGCTTTTCTTTTCTTCAGTATTCACCCTTCTGTTTTGTCACATGTGTATGATTTCTGGTATCTATATTAAAGATTACAGCATCTTTATCACTGTCTGGGTTTTTCCCCTTTATGTCTCTATATCTTTGTTTCTTTGAATATATATATAAAATTGTTTAATATAGTCAATAAGCATAAATCGATCGATTATGTATTTCTCGTCTACTATCTCTAATATCATTTAAGATAATGAAGATATGTAATATAAGCATCATAATTGATTATTTTCAAAAATTCACATAATCAAGTGTTGATGAATAAATTTTTGGTGTCATTGGTGTTAATGGTTGATCATTATTAATTGATATATCTTGTGTATCATCAATAAATACTCTTAATATTTGTTGTTTTAATCCGTCGTTATGTGATTAACTGCTGCTTTCAATATTGGTTCAATATATTCAAATATCAATGATAAATGGTCATTATTTAATCTTTTTAAATATTTTATAATTGTTTCAGATTTATTTTTTATTGATGGATTATTTTGATTTGTTTTTATAATAAGATTCAATGCTTCTTTATGTCGATCATTTTCTTCGTAAAATGGTATTCATTCTGCTGGTTTTCGATTTCTGATTTTTAAATTCATATTCAATTTCAGATTGTTATTTGAAATGTATTTACCTTGTCAAATATATTTTCTCCCTATGAAATGAAAAAGTAAAGAATGAACAACATTAGAAGAGCTATTTTGGTCATCTTAGATATTTAGATTCTTTCTCACTCACGTTCTATTTTACAAATTTTCTTTGATATGTGTTTTCAGTTTTCCCCACCAGGGAACCTTTGCGGCGGCCGGCGCAGCCACCCGTGCTCTCTTACTCAATGAAGCAGGGATGCCTGTGCTGTTTTATTCAATGAGGCGCGGAGCAGTGCTGCCGCCTCATGAGAACTGGAGAAATCCGTTATGCCAGTTTTTTTAAACTTATTGCACTCAACACATAAAGGGGCACTTATTAACATTCGAATATGAACGACGACATAAAATTGAAAGGAACATAAAAGGATATCCTGTTTAACAAGATTTAACTATGCGATTAGCATAATGTTGTCGTAACGCGTTCTCAATTTAATACTGTGTATAAGGTGTCTAGCTTCGGTACTAGAGACTCAGAAAGAGGACCTATCCAAAATCAGGGATTTCTTTTGCAGGTTATGGGTGGAATGAATCTAAAAATAGACCGTTGGTTAACATTTACTGTTTCTTTACAGTATCCTCAAAACAGAAGACGTAGGTTCATCGTTGAAGTTGCTTCGCACCACATTCGCAAGCCTCACGTAGTGTGGTTGCCAACTAGTTCGGTTTCCTAACCAACTATATTTCTGCATAAAAAAGGGATTGATAAAATGAGTTTTTGTGAGGCTGAGTTTTTGACAAATAAAAAAAGAGAGAAAAAAAAATTACCTAAAGAAAGAGAGAACACCGGATTTACATAGAAAACAATATATGTTCCTGAGATAGAATGATTTAACAGCAAAAAAAAATTCTTTCACTATGTATTTCACTGTTCATAAAGTCGTTGAAGTCTAGATGAAAAATCATGATCATAATTTGTTGTATCACCAGCAACATTACTACTATTTCCTATTGCAAAACTACTTGCAGTTGTACGAGGTGATTGGAGTTGTCTTGACCGTATATCTTGTGCAGAATATAAACGCACAACTGGCTGTTGTTGTTGTTTGGATGGTGAAAAAGAATCATTATTTCGAAATGATGTGTTACCATAATCAAAAATATCATCTCGTTGTAATAGACGATTTTCATTTTCATTTGGAGATGAAATGCAGACACGTGATATAGGAGATTGTTGCTGTAATTTTTTTGGTATCATTGAAATTTGTTGATTTTTTGTACGATTAAAAAAATTAACGAGAGAATATGCAATTAAACAAATAATAATACAAAGGAGTAGACTGGATAATATACGTCCAAAAGGATAATCGATTAAACGTCGATGTAATTTGACTTCAAGTTTTTCTTCTTGTCCTGTCAATGTATTTGTCAGATAAATATAGACTGGTTCATTAGTTCGTCGTTCATCTGTTTTTAGTTCAACATTATAAACAAATGGAACTGTATCATTTTTTTAACATGTACTAAAGTTGGATTTGATGAACGTATTTGACTATATTTTTCATTTTTTCCAGTTGTATAGATGCGAATGTGTGATAATGGATGATCATCAGAAATAGTAATAAAAGATGAAGGTTTTATGGAGAATAATGGCTGAAATTCAATTTTAATTGTATTTGATTTTAAATTATATTCTTTACTATGAACATTTAAACTTAAAAAATTTTCAAGTGTACTCAATTGATAAGAATGATGTGAAGATAGAATTGGTTGAATTTTACATGACCATCCAGGTAAATCTATATCAAATATAGGATGAACATCAAATATTGATGATACTTTATATTGTGAATGAGTTAATGATGATTTATCATTTGTATCAATAAATTCGAGATTACATTGAAATGGTGGACGAAATATATCTTTTGATTGAGCATGTTCGAATCTTTCACGATGACATGAACCATGGACATTTGCTTGACCACTACCCAAGATAACTGGATAAGAATAATTTTTAACAGGAACTTAAAATAAAAAGAAAAAAAACAAACAAATAAAATAATCATCCATGTATATAGATAAAGTTTTATTCTCTTACTATGTTGTCCACTATTTCGTATAAAATCATTATCTATTGTTAATAATCTTAATTGTTTTGGTAAATGTACATTAAATCGTTCACTTGTCAATACTTGTCCATCAATCTGATAATGTAAATGTCTTTCACCGTCGACTAATAATTGTCCAATGCCATATTTACGATCAATAATCATACCATCAGCGCCACTCCAACGTTCTTTTCTATTACTATCATCTTCTAATGTTGTTTTTGTATTGTGATCATATGTAAGAGAAGATAGACGTGATTCAAAACAAATAATATCGCCAACAACATAAGAATCTATCCTATTTGTCTTTGATTGATCAGATGACGAAAATTTTGGCATAAGAAAACCTGATGCAGCTTGAATGGATATATAAGAACGTAAATTATTATAAGATAAATCACTACTACCAAATTCAACAATACTTGTACCATTTGTTAATAGAATTAGTTCATATGTTGTATTATGTGAATCAGATGACACAGATATCATGTCACGACGATGTAACCATACGCGAACTGAAACCGATGTTGAATCAAATCTAAAATAAAATATTTTTACCAGTTGTTCTTACGATCGATCAGAGTTGCAGAATTTGCCTATTTGCTCGGGGGGGGGGGGGCGTTAGTGGTTTTGGAAATTTTTTGGAAAATTGGGACAGTGTTTTTGCAATATTTTGGCAAAAAAACGGAATGGGGGGTGGGGG